GCGAAAGGCCATTGCTCCTCCTGTACCGCCACCACCCAAACCAACCGTGGAAGAAGAGAACACTCAAGAAAAAACAGAAACGGACATACCAGAGCCCACAGCTCCCACAGCTCCTACTACTAGCACTGGTAATGCAGCCCTAGCACCATCTGCACAAACCGAGACGCCCAAAGAATCATAACAATTTTTAAACGATGTATTCACCCTACTGCTATCCGATGAAATATTCTATGAAGCTCTGTACAATTTTTGCTTTTTGTTTTTCAGATTGGTCCTAATTTTTAAAATCGATGAAATCCCACAAAAATTCTTTCACAAAATCGGACAAGATAATWGGTACGTACTCTCATAGGATACATAAGTATGAACTACGATACCAAATACCAAATCTTTCGACGAAAAAAGGGCAACACAAAAAAGTCGTCCACTATCATAGTTTTATTATGTACATAGGATTGGTACGTGTTTTTCTAGCCGTTACAAAATGCCCGTCACGCTCGATTCTTTTTCAAGTCCGTCGTGATTTCCAAACYGACAAAGCGCCCGTCTTACCAGCAGCAACACAATAGGTTTGAAAGATGGAAAAAATACGAATTTGAAACACAGATCAAATCGATTCATTCCAAAGACCCCAATATAGGTTTGCTACTTCGTCCGAYAGAAGTTGCATACAGGTTGTTGAAGGCAAGCAGTTTTCCCGCTGCTAGATAAAATAGAAACATAGAATTGCAAAACCTAAGCGCCATGAACCGWAGACGAGGAGAAGGAGAGCCTCGCGAACCGGAAGGCGACGAAAATCCTTCGGCYTACAAGCTACACACAGACGGAAACTTTGACGATGCGCCGGCGACAATGAAAGACGTCATTGACGAGGAACGAGTCCCCCTTTCACCCTCTCATGCAATTGTCCGGCATCCCGAAATCTTTCGAGACGAGCCCGAGGGAGGAGACGCCACTGATGACTCCTCGTACGAGGAAAGAGAAATGTCACTACAGGAATTGTTGTACAGTTCCTCCTCCTTTTACGCAATCGTTGTTCCCGGTAAGTAGAGGCCRTAYGGTTTGAGTATAAAATTCAATGAATAAGAAAGGGCAACCCATCAGCGACTAACTCGCCTATGATTTATGCCTGCTCTTAGTTTCCATCACCATGGTGCTTTCAGCGCTTGCCGTGGTTTTCATTAATAGCGAAAGCATAATGGCGCAGGGTGCCGCTAGTATGGCAGCAACCTACCAGTATTTTGATACCAGTGGAGCCTCGGCTCTTGATGCGATACTTCTGAGTTTGCTGAATGGTCTCATAATGGTGACATWTATTGGTGGATTTACCTTCGTAATTGTGCTCTTGTACAAGTTCAATTGCATGTGGCTGTTGATTGGATACATGATGTTCGCTTCGACGAGTCTATTGGGATTTTTAGGAGGACATMTTTGGTTGGTTGCTATTCAACTCTACGATTTGCCCGTTGACAAGTTCACTTACATTATGGTACTTTGGAATTTCGCRGCTGTTGGAATTTTAGCTATTTTCTATGGCAAAGGCGTGCCCAAGTATATYTCACAGGCCTATCTGGTTTTGACTTCGGTCATCCTYGCATGGCATTTGAGCTTCTTCGATGACGTCATGGCATGGTCTTTGTTGTTCATGTTGGCCTTGTACGATCTTTGCGCAGTTCTTACACCTTGTGGTCCACTCAAAGCGTTAGTCAATTTGATGTCCAAGGACGATGCCCCCGAGATGCCGGGACTATTGTATGAGGCTGAATTGCCCCCTGAAGCACGTCGACCGGGTTCGTCTTCGACGAGTCAAAACTATGCTGGTGTGAACAGTAGTCGCAGCAATGCTAGCTCTGTTAGCAGTTCTCGATCCGTTTCCGAAAGCAGCAGAGCAACATCGGCCACAGGTGGAGAGCTTCGTGTTGAATTGCCACTAGCAGTTGCCCAGGTCTATAATTTGTCTGTGTTGGACGTTCCGGAGCAATCGAGAGGTCTATTCTCTACGTCTTCGTCGAGCAATGGTAGTGACCAGCCTCTCCTGGATGGGAGCATTGARAATCAAAACTTCGAAATCCCTGAGAACCCGTCGAAGAAGCAATTGAAAGCAGATATTATYGTCGAGCTACCAGTGAACGGAGGGCGCATTGAACGAATCAGAAGAAAAGGCAAGACTGTATTTATGGAACGAAATAGACACGGAGACCCCAAACGCATTTTGTGGGTCGACCGCAAGGGACGTGTYTTTGCCGAGTCGAGTAGCTACGGCGAAGGTGATGAYGACGAGGAGGAAGATTTAGGAAGAAACAGCATCCGACTAGGATTGGGAGATTTCATCTTTTACAGTGTTTTGGTTGCCAAGGCGGCGGAGTATAGCTTTACGACGTTCATGGTGTGCATGCTTGTAATTTTGGCCGGACTGGGTGGAACACTTATTTTGTTGAGTGTATTTCATCATGCTCTACCTGCCCTTCCAATTTCCATTTGCCTTGGTATTTTCTTTTACATCGTTACGCGCTTTCTCATTGAGCCATGGATCGAAGGTATTATGATCAAACCATACTATGTCTAAATGATATCAATCAATGGRAAAATGAGACTGGTCGATCAGTCTGTCTTTCGATTGATTGATTCGTGGCTCCCGAAAGGTTAAAACTATCTATGTGTGATCGAATGTCGAAGATCACAACAAATTCGAATAAGCAAGCAAAATTATACTGAATGTWTGCACTGGCTCGAACTGTACTTACTACGTGTAGAAACTCTTAAAGACTTTTACCAACGATCATTCATGATTTTTAGTTTATTGGTCGTTTGCTATTGAAGTACGTAATTGAATTCTATCTGGGCAGTTAATAGTTCTTGGTGTAACTCTCGACTTGTTCAAACCGATCGTATGACATTTTCTTCCGCAGTTCTGTAAATCCTACTATCCACTTGAAATGGGAATATGCTCGGTACTCTACGCCTCTCTTGCCAGTTGCTTTTGAAGTACTTCTACTGCATTAAACGACCTTTCTGTTTAACCCACGGTTTGATTTCAAAAACAAAACGTTATAAAAAAAGAGCTCTGTTAATTTTTAAATGGGTGTTCATATGTAAACAACCTTCTTTGCGGCAATTGTGATTGCTTCAACCATGGGTAAGATGAGAAMGTAGTCTTCTTCCACTTATTATTTCGATATCCCTCTTGCAAACCATTCGGAATGGTATCATTAGAGRTGCGAAGATTCCCTACAWCTASTTTTGTGTTGATTGTGGATGCCAGAACCCTGAAACCATCCGAATTCATCAGATTTCTAGAACACCAAGCCTTTCTTGAAATACAGCTTTGCCGTTTCAGGTGGAACAAATGCCGTGAATGGAACGACTGCATCGAACGGTTTGTTGTTCCAGACGAATCTCGTTTGATTCGTTTAGAGATGCGCTGAGTACTTTGACATATTTTCATGCAACTGACACATGATGGTTAAACACTATCGTTTCAYGTGATGCAGTTGATCAGTGAGCCGTTCGACCATGGTTATCTGAAGCATTTTAGCCACAAACATATGCCTAATCTTAAACAGCAGAAAAAAATCGGGTGCTAGAAATCACAGGTAGCATCACGTACAAAACTACAACCTTCAGAATTAGTTCTGTGGTTCTCGTTCCCGGCTCAGTCTTTTTTTATAGCTTCTCCCRTGCGTACCATCAACTTTGTCGATGGGTTCAATTGCCAATCTCGGTTCTCTACGAAGAGATTCTTCCCACAGTGGGAGGCGCTCCAGAACAACCTTGAGATTGTGTGGTATGGGCGCTAAGCATTYATGGGAGATCCCTTCCAATTCAAAATCAATGGTCCAGCAGTGTAAGGCCAGCCGATTCAGAGATCGGTGTTTTCTCCACCACCGGTTGAAAGAATTGTCCCCGTGCTGGGAATCTCCAATGATAGGGTGCCCAATCGAGAAAAGATGCCGCCGTATCTGGTGYGTCCTTCCCGTGAGTGGTTCACACAGCAACAAGGAGCACCGATCGTCAGTGGTGACTCCTTGCGTGGTCCCCAGCAACGTAAATTTTGTCACGGCATCCTTTGTCATTCCTTTTACCTCGAGAGGTTTGTCCACAATTACCGTAGAATCCTTGTTGTTCGTCCATACTCCGCGCACGAGTGCAAGGTACTTCTTTCGGCCTCTCCGAATGGCAGCTTCGTGCAAAATGCCCGCCGTTTCCGAATCAAAGGCAAACAGCATGGCGCCCGACGTCCGATGATCCAACCTATGGACGGGAAATACCTTCCGAGCCAGTTGACGTTTGACTGTCGTCGTGAGAACAGCGGTGTGTTTGGGTGTTCCATTTCCTCTGTGGACCGTGATGCCACTTGGTTTGTTGACACAAACCCACCCATCATGATATKTTAGTATTGGGATGCGGGGACGTTGTTTGGGCTGCGTGTTGGAAAGGGAGGTCACCGAAACCCAAAAAATGGTTGAAAGGAGGGCTACGATGCAATACGCGGCCGAAGATTTCATCTTCGTCATCGGTGTCGAGCTGAAGCAGAATACACAATGGAAGGGAAMCTTTGCAACAATGGCTTTCAGGGATCGATCCGTGCAACAGAATGAACCAATCTCTGTTCCCTTCGAAAAGATGGAGAAAAACATGTTGTTGATGGTCACTGACGCCAAGCCAATCATGAAWTCACGCATACACGGGACTGGAATCATCACCACGAGGCACATTTGTGATGTTTCTGTCTACCGGTACGACATCAGTAAAATGAGTTACACGTAAGGTACCGGTATGTATGATGGGTACAGAAACAACGCAACGCAACACACGCACCTCCCTCGCTTCTGGAGAAAATTTACCTACAGTATGGTAGATGGTACATACTTACCGTACGGCAGGGTTTGTTGTCGGGTACGTAGTACTTGTACGTACCGGTCGAGCAATCATTTTTGAGTTGTCTGTTTCGAGGAGTCCCGTTTAGTTCTCTCAATCGTGATGTTTGTCGTGATGTTTGTCGTGGTGTTTGTCGATGCATCACACCTCTCTCACTTGTTGGCAATACGAGCAGTAAAAATTTGGAGGATGAATCACCGGCTTCCTTTCGTTTTCATCATTGACGTGCACACACGACATGATGTGAGCAAACAACATTTTCCTCTTCGTCCTCATCCATTCATCATATTTGATAATGATCCSCGCGAACAAACGCACCTTGATTCCGTTGTGGTTTTCAGTGMTATGGTGTAGGAAACTTTTGCTGGAAACATTCGCATACGAATCGTCGTCATCTTCGTCGTCGTCTCCGCGCAAGCCGCTGTTTCATGTTGCGCCCATGCAGTGCTACACGAATTCRCAAACGAGGAAATTGTTCGATATGCTTTCGCCGTCGTCCATCAAATGGACCGAGATGGAAAAGATGGACGACATCTATCCCAGAACAGAATCCATCGACTACATGCTGGATGCGCTGGAAAAACGGTTGGGACCCCCCGGGGACCACCACGACACGACCAATCTGGTGCTGCAGCTCGGAACCAACGACCCCGAGCGGTTACAAACCTGCGTGGAACAGACACTCCGGCACTACGACAACATAGGAGAGATCAATCTGAATTGTGGCTGCCCAGCCATCGAATCCGGGGGGGCATCGACCTACGGAGCAAGCCTCATGAAAGATGCGAGATTGACAGGGCAGCTCGTCGAATCCGTGAGAAAAGGGCTGGAGAGAACGGAATCTCTGCGGACCACAAAGCCGAGGRTCTCGGTAAAATGCCGCATYGCCGTCTTTGACACCGACAAAGACATGCGGCCGCTCACGGAGGGCGACTACGAGGCCCTGAAGGAGTACGCTTCGACTATTCGCGAACACGGTGCCGACCACATGATCCTGCACGCGAGGCCGGCCGTCCTGTCGGGGTTGAGCCCGGTGAAGAATCGGATTGTTCCGACACTGGACTACGGGTTTGTGGAGCGGATCGCCTCGGATTTTGAGGGCGAAATGGACGTGACACTGAACGGTGGCATCACGACGCTGGAGCAGCTGGAATCTCTTTCCCGCGGGGAGGACGGCACCGCAATCTCGGGGTACATGGCGGGGAGGTGGTGTCTGCGGAGACCCCTCGACCTGGTGGGCATAGAGGACTCGCTGGAGGGRCGAACCGGATGCGATGCGTCCCTTTCGTTGCTAGTTGGTGCGATCGAGCAATACGTAGACGACGCCATCGAAATGCTTGGATCTTCTTCCCAGCGCCACAAGCCCACGGCGGCCGATATCTGCCTGCCCCTCTTCCTGGTGGTGGAGCAGCTCCGTGACGACTACGACTACGAAGAGGACGAGGAGAGCGAGGTACCACCTCCTTTGCTGACGTACGCAGAAATGGAATCGCTGTACGACGTGCTGCAAGAAAGTGTCGCACAGATCGAGGGCCTGTGTGGCAGCGGAAAGAAGAAGAAGAAGAAGAAAACAGCAACAAACAGCGACGTGAATTTCAAGCGCCTTTCGTCTTCGTTCAAATCGTTGGTGGGCACGAAGGTTGCAAACAAATGGAGGCGCAACCGAGCCGAATTATAGCACGAGGGAAGAACAGTGTTGTGGAGGATCATAGCTTTGCGAGGGCAGTGAGAGGTGATCCTTKGCTGCATTCGCAGAGGTCATAGTGCTCTTTTGTTCCAAGCATTGGCTGGAGCAAAAACTATTGGCAGCCAACCTAGTTTGTCTGACGAATGATGGGATTCACGTTGGTGCACGAATCACTGCGTATCCGCTTCTAGCTGGGCAGATTACTAGGGGAAGCACACAAGACTAAATTCCATGTGATTATATTGTTTGTTCTGTGCCGGTTTGTATTGTTTTCATTATGCTTAGAGCGTSTCATTAGATAAGTGAATATCTATACCGTGAGACTATAACCTGTAGGACGGTATCAATATCAATATCAATACTAGCGCATGCAGTACCTTATGATTACGTTACCACCGTCTACCATACCTGGTGCCCGACAAGGTCTTCGAATCGGAGATGCAACAAAAGGAGCTAAATCTGTCTTTCCAGAAGATTCATTTCTCCCGAGCAGGGGAATTTCGGGATCTCAACCGAAAACCGAATTTGATGTTTGATGTGCTGGATTTTCGTGACACACGACACCACTCAACTCATCTCATCTCATCTCAACTCAACTCAACTCAACTCAACTCAACTCAACTCAACTCAACTCAACTCAACTCAACTCAACTCAACTCAGCACGACCCCGAGCAATCGCACCTTCAGCAACCGCAGAACGAAGCAACCAGAAGAGGAAAAAACCACCATGGCCGATGACACCACCACAGCCGACAGCAGCAGCCGCAATAGCAACAAGCGGGTCCTCTCGATCCAGTCGCACGTCGTTCACGGATACGTGGGCAACCGGGCCGCCGTCTTTCCCCTCCAGCTCCTGGGCTTCGACGTGGACATMGTCAACTCGGTGCACTTTGCCTGYCACACCGGTTACGAGCACTTTCCCCACGGAACCGTCATGAACGGGGACGAGCTCAARACCGTCCTGGAGGGCCTCGAGGCCAACGGCCTGCTGGGGAGCGACGAGACCGACGCCTCCCCCAAGGGCGACGCCATCGGATCCGTCCTGACGGGGTACATCGGGAGCGCCTCCTTCCTGGAGGCCGTCCTGGACGTCCTCGGGGCGGTCCGGGCCCACAACCCGGGGGTGCGCTTTTTCTGCGACCCCGTCCTCGGCGACGACGGCCGGTTCTACGTCCCCCCCGAGCTGGTGGAGGTCTACAAGACCATTGTCATCCCCAGGGCGGACGTCGTGACGCCGAACCAGTTCGAGGCGGAGCAGCTGACGGGGATCGCCGTGGAGACCCTTGCCGACGCCCGTGCGGCCTGCGCGGCCCTGCACGCGATGGGGCCCTCGGTGGTCTTTGTCACGAGCGCGATCCTGGGCCCGGCGGACGGGACGGAGAACGAGACGGGACCCGAGGGCAGCGGCAATGGCAATGGCAATGGCAATGGCAGCGGCAATGGCAGCGGCAATGGCAGCGGCAATGGCAGCGGCAATGGCAGCGGCAATGGCAGCGGCAATGGCAATGGCAGCGGCCATGGCGGAGAACCCCGGGACATTACGATCGTCGCCTCCAAGACGACCGGCGGGACGCAGGAACTGTGGAGGATCGATTGCCCCAAGATCCCCGGATCCTTTACGGGAACCGGGGACGTTACCGCCGCGCTCCTGCTGGGCCACCTGCAACACCACCCCGACAACCTGCCGCTCGTCATGGAAAAGGTCATCAACACCATGTACGCCCTGATCCGGCGAACCCACGAGGCCAAGGGGACGTCGGTGCGGTCCAAGGARCTGCGGCTGGTCCAGAGCAAGGACATCATCGAGCACCCCCCGTCGGTCTTCAAGGCCACGCGGCTATAGAACGCGACGGGACACAAAACAGACAAAAGGCGCAGAGCGTAAAAGTAAAAAGAGAATTTTCGGTGCCGTGCAAAATCCTATGTTTCTTACTACTTATACTGCAAGAAGAATAGCGGGCTTTTGGCCCAAACAACGGTCGCTCCGTACAGGTTTGGGCTGCCGCCTCCCGCCATGGTTTCGCTGTTGGTTGCGAGCGTCGTATCGTATGGTATAGTTTCGTATTGTATCGTATCGTATCGTATCGTTTTCGTATCGTTTCGGTTTTCTTTTACAAATCCTCGCCGGCGTTCAGTTTCTCTTGCAGCTCCCGGGCCAGGTCGCTGTCGGTCCGCACCAGGGCGTTTTCCGGGAGGGACAGGAGCACCGGATCGACGTCCGCGACGTGGTATGGCTCCACCTTGTTCAGTCGGACGCCCTTCGGCAGCTTCTTCTCGGTCGGCACCGATCGGGGAACCGTCTCGAAAAACACGTTGGAGTTGTCCTTCTCCCACTCCCGCAGGAGGCGGCCCATGTGCGAGCGGAGGTCGTTCAGGTCGCCCAGCAGGGCCTGCAAAGCGGGGATCCTGGCCACGTCCGGCATTCCCGGCGTTGTGCCCGAGRCGTCCTCGGTGCGCAGGTAGACGGTCGCCTCCGACAGGAGGGCAATCGCGAGCCCGTAGTCGCCCTGGTCCCAGACGCTGCGGGCGTAAAAGTAGTCCGAGAGCGACTTTTGCAAGACGGTCTGGAAGCTCACCAGCGTGAAAAAGTCCTTTTCGATGCGGGCCATCTGGCCAAAGGCGTCCTTGCGCATCAGCCCGACGAATTCCTCGAGCTGCTCCTCGATGCCCTTGCAGAGCTTGGCCAGCAGGCCGTAGTTGGGCGTCCCGGGCTTGATCAGAACGGTCGCCACGGCCATTTGCTGGGCGTTGGCCTGGAACAGGATGCTGAGTCCCTTGGCCGTGGTGGTGCAGCACTCGACGGGGAGATCGGTCTCGCTGGTCTTCGATCCGCGGGCGATCCACTTCGGGAGGTGGTCCTCKGCCAGAAAGGAGAAGATCCCGGCGGCCGCTGCGTATTCGCGGCTGGCGGCMGCAAACTCCCCGGCCATGGAGGACTCCGTCGCCACCCCCGCCTTGCCCAGTCCCTCGCACAGGATGCACATCGTCAGGTCCATCATCATCGCCTCGCTCTTGAAATAWTTCTTCTTGGACTCCACTCCCGACATCCACTCAAACACCAGCCGCTCGTCCAGCCGGGCCATCTCGGGCTGGAACTTACAGCTCACCAGGATCTGGTGGATGTAGGGCTGGTAGCGCCTGGCCTCGGCGACGACCCGCTCGTGGCTGATCGTGTCCGACAGGACGGCATCCAGGAGCTTCTCCCTCTGGTCGTCGGCCTTGTGCATCAGYCTCCGGGTCTTTTCGTGCTTTCCGGTGGTCCGGAAGGAATTGGCAAAGGAGATCCTGCGGCCCGGGTTGATCTTTGGCACCCGGAACCGGTGGACGGCCGAGGCGAGGCGGATGGCCGAGTCGGGGTGGCCCATGTCGTCCTTCGGGGTGTCCCAGTCGCTCATGGTGCTTGCGTTTCGTTGCTTGCGTTTCGTTTCGTTGCGATTCGTTTCGTTGCGGTGCGGTTTGCGTTGTGCCCGTCGAGTGGAGTRCTTTGCCTTGCAGCGTTTTGTTTTGTGTCGTGTCGTGGATACCGACTTTCTCGGATTGCGGAAGGGGTTCTGTGAAAGGATTTTGCGTTTTGCCTCGTGAGGCCTGACGAGAAAAGTTTTTCAATGTCTCATCCGTTGCGTCGATTCGGTTTGATTCGATTATTCATTCATTCGTGCTAGAAGTTGTGTTCCGATACGGAACGGATACGTGCACGAGTAGCGAGTACGTAGTACAAGGTCGGGTAAGATTACTACGGGTGAGGTAGAACTTGTCTTCTTCCGTTCTGCCTTGCACGTACATAGTATCCAGTATCCTACGTACGATGATACAAGCGTACCGCACTTCACACAGCACATCTGTAGTAGAAGACAGTACGTACACGGTTTTCCATACCTGGTACTAGTACGAACCTGGGCGTTGAGATGAATCGTGGGAGATTTTGAGTCCAATGAGTCGTTCGATTCAGCAAATCCGCCAGGAAACCGGAGATTGTACCGGTAGTTGCCGAAAAATCTCGTGCCGAATGAGAAGTAAATACAAGGCGTCCGAACGAGCACGATAAATAAGCACTACGAGTACGTACTAGCACAGCACGAAGCAACTACAGAATGAATGGAACACGTATCTTACTACTGCGACTGTGACTACTCGCATCCATCGCAGTTTTCTCGCGACCGCTCCCATGGCCTGCAACGGCTCCGTCTAGAATTGAACAGAGGCGGCATCGCTCAGCAGAATCCATGGCACACAATCTATTTTTTGGTACACTACTGGTAGGCAGCTGTCGGCGCGATATTCGCTCGGAGTTTATACTGTAGCATTTTGTTCGTTTGTACGTGTGATTGGCTCTTTCTATGGTTGCTGCTTGCTTGCTTTGTTTGGAATCATTGTCGTAATGATTGTTAATGTTGCTGTTGCAAACAAAGTACATGGTAGGGTTGCGTGCTTGTGCTTGTGTCGGATTGGATTGGAATGGATTGCATTCCCGCTACGTGGTTGYTGCCGCGGTCGCGGTAGCGTTGGCCATGGCCAGCTTTCCCCCGGCCTCCGGAAGCACCACCGGCGGAACCGCCCGGGCCGGCTGCTTCGAGGTGATCCCCGCGTTGATCGATTCCGAGACRATSGAGGCCGCGCTCGTAAAGGGCAGCCGGTACTCCAGGGGGAGGTTGTACGTCACGACGTTGACGGGCGTCCAGACCCGGGCGTTGGCCACAAAGAGCGGCGGGAGCTTCTCCACGATCTGCCCCGGGAAGATCTGGTCGGGGGGGGATCCCCGCATCGCCGCCGTGACGGGAATGTCCCAGGCGGCAAACACAAAGGGAGCGACCAGGAACTGCTCGAGCGCGATGTTGATGGCCGTCCGGACGGCGCAGGTGATCGCGTCCACCCCGGCGRCATCCCCATCCAAACCAAACCCACCGGTGGCGWGGGACAGCACCGATTGGGTGAGCTCGGCCGACCAGACCTCTGCGAAATCGAACCACCAGGCCCAGAAGATCCCGCTGCCCAGGCCCTTGAAAAAATAGACGAGGCCCCGCTTGGGGTCGTACGACGAGACGYTCGGGGAAAGTTGGGCGTTGCTCGTGCTTTTGTTGCTTCCATTGGTTTCCCCGGCCTCTACGGTCTGGGCGATGCCGTCACCTACCACCGTCAGCACCGCATTYGTGACGGACTGGGTCGGGAAGTAATGGTACTTGAGGCAGTAGCCATATGTSGAGACCAGGTCGCCCACGACGGGGACTTCCATCGGCAGCGACAGATCCAGCCTCGTCGTGTCGGCAGCTCTCGTGCTTCGCTGCGGATGATGGCTGCCCCGTTTCTCGCACCCACTCCCCCGCACCAATGGCGGCGACGATCTGGTTCGTCTCGTTGTTCTTGTTGTCCCGAACGCGAACACCAGTACGGACGGGCTGTTCCGAACAACGGCGTTGACCACCGCCACCAGCATCAGAATGGACCGTATGCGGGGTCCGCATCTTTTCTTTGTGGCAAAAGGCGTGGCGGACATCATTGGCAAGCGTCTATAATACGTGTGTTCGCTGCTGCTGGTCTATTTCTATGGTATTCTGTGCACGTGTTGGGTTCTTGCGTCGAGTCGAGTCGCGTCGCGTCGCGTTGCTGTGATGTGTAGCAGAGAGTTGAACGGCGCTCGTTGCGATGCAATCGATCCTATGGGCGGCAGAATATAACCAATGCAATGCAGTGGATGGATTTTCGGGGTCGGTTGAGGMTAGGRTGGTACTGTACTCTATGCAGGAAGAGATCAGTACATCTAGTGCCTSTTGCTTTTTTCTTTCCACACTGAATCTCGGCCGTCGAACCCACACACGACGCGATRACAAGCTTTTTCAATGGATTGGCTGTCTCGATAGAATGCCGTGGCTGCGGGAGAAGATATCGGTKGWGGCGTATGCGATGCTGTGCAGTGTTGCGGGACCGAAACGGTTGATGGCTCCTGATTTCAAAGTCGTTGTTCGGTTCTTTCGTTGYCCGCTGAAGGCAAAACAGAACACCCCTGAATTCCAGAATTTTCGAAAAACTCAAACCGAACGACATCGGAATTTTGAGGTGAGAGAAGAAATGTTTTGTTTTTAAGGACTACGACTGCCTCTGTTTCCGATGCGTTTTGTGTAAGGAGTACGTATGACAGTACGAGTACTTTTGGTATTCACCGTACGTAGCGTASGGCTAGGGACAGGTATATATTGTCAATGTGAACCATGACCGTSACGCCAACGGCATCCTATTGAATGTACATACGTACCATACGAYCTGAGTTCGATTGCAACGTCGGAACTTTCATCATCATATCATCCCAAAATATATGTCTGCGATGACCTTTTTCGATGGCTAGTTTCCCTCCACACAAAAACAGAAGTACGAAGTACTTCTACTGAATACAAAAGGCAACATTCCTCTCGGATTTTTCTGCGCAACGACMTCGAATGTAAGGTACTTCTAGTCTGTCGGCGACAAAAATATTCCATCGATTAGTGAAAATCAACGATCTAGATTGATTGGTCTATCCTCCACGGCTTTGTCACTGCAAGGGTTCGGTACCGTCCACTGCGGTAGCGCAATACATACACACCTGCAGATGCTAACCAMCGCAGAAACCAMCGGTGATGCGGTGGTGCTCCCCGGCTACGAGGCCGGGATCGATAGATCGGGGGTCGAGCACTCCCGGAGGAAGCTTGGGGAGTCCTCCGATCGTCTTTTCGAAACACTGGCCGCGATCGAAAWGGARCGCGGTCCGGGGSATGAGGCGTCGGTGGTTCCGTCGGTACGGACGCTCGGTTGTTCCAGCGAGGCAGAAACCTGGACGTATCGGTGCCGGTGCAACTTTCAGATAGTGCGGGTGGAAGCAGACTCGGTGGGGGAACCAGGAACCGCGATAGTAGCAACAAGTCCAACCAACCCGTTTTCCTATCGTTATGCCATGAGAAGTGGGGGCCGGCCAGTCCTTCTCGGAACCAAAAACTCGTTTCCCATTGCCACGAGGCGCATCCAAGCCGCCATGAATGGATTCATGCAGTGTCTCRACGACGCCGATGGCGAGAGCGGAGATTCCGTGCTCGGRACTCACCTCACGAGCTGCACCTTTTCGTCGGCCTGGAGGGACACGCCTCGCACCGACTGCATTCTGACCCTGCACTACGACCATCCCCTCGAAGATAAAAAGACTTTGTGGAGGCAGCGGGCCAACGAGGTCTGCAGGAAGCTAGAGCTGAGGCAACTCAACGGGCGTTCTCGTGGAACTCTTGTTTCGGTACGGGGGGACGACACCARCGCCATTGMCGATGCCAATGGCGACGAAGCCGAGGCCACAATACGGGATACGGTATATCTCCAACAAAGTCACCGCGCTAAGGAAGGCAATGATGCATCGAACGAGCCGGACGACGAATTGGAATGGAGTGTGAGYCTGGAAGAACAACAGGATTCCTCCCCTTTCGTCCGCTTGGTGATCCCGGTCGACTACCACAAACCGGAAACCGCGTTCTACCACCCTAATMCAAACGCAATGACCAAGGCGCTGGCCTGGATGCTGAACCGATTGCAATGCCTCTCCTCCTCCTCAGAACGACCCCTTCGCCTCCTGGAAATGTACTGCGGATGYGGTGCCCACACGGTGGCACTGGGCCGCTCGGGGTTGGTGGCGGCCGTCCACGCGGTGGAGCTGGATCCCCGGCTGGTCCGGGCATGCGAGGCCAACGTTGCGAGCAACGGGCTGGAGGGAGTGGTGGAMGTCCGCCGGGGGGACGCCGGCAAGTGGGCGAGGGACGARTCCCGCCGGAGGAAGAAGAAACAGACCGACGGACAACATTTCCACGGCTACGACGTKCTGCTGGTGGACCCACCCCGCCAGGGACTGGACGAAGCCGTCTGCAACATGGCAATGGTGGACGGCAGCGGTGGCTGCTTTCKKAACATTCTGTACGTCTCCTGTGGACACATGGCTCTGCTCCGGGACCTACGGCGCCTCTCGCCTTGCTACGAGCTCGTAGACTGCGCACAGATGGACCTCTTTCCACGGACGGACTCCATAGAGACGCTGGTGCACCTGCGGAGGAGGGKGTGAAGCAGCAAAKCGAAGCTTTGTGGCAGGGACGGTTCCCTCCTCCCGTCCTTTTGTGGCATAAAGAACACGTCAGACGTAGAACAACAGCATATTTCYTAAACCAAAAGAATGTTTTTTGCAATACTGAATGTGCAGTGTATCGCATTATTCTACCCTWTTGCTTCCTGTCAAACGTTTTCTCGATATGTGCCGCTATGGATCTCTCCTAGAACTAAGGCAGAGAAACTGATTCATGGCTTGATATTTTGTAGCTTTCGTGCCTGTTTTTGGATTTGGACAGGAGTGACTTTGAAAATCAATTTCCTGCCGCGAAGGCGACGCTAATACTAACTACCCCGAGATAGTACAAACAAATACCAAAAAATGGCAAAGCTACTCTTCCTTGGCGGTCTTGCCAAAATATCTGGCCAGCCGCCGTTCCACAGAGCCYACTACRGCGGCACCGATCAAGGCCGGGATTGCCAGCAAATACCACGGAAGGAGGCCKTTTTCGTTCATTATGCCGGACGAGGACACCAGCTCRACGACACTGGCGCCYCCCACACCGTTGGTACAAAGGTGCCACCACAGAGAGCCATCGAGGCTCCCGAGGACCGCACCCACCAGGATCTGGTCGAGCGTGTGGAGTTTTGTCCGGATCCTATAGACCAGGCTGATGGAAGCATACGCGAGCAGCCCCGGTGCTGCAATCGGAACCAGCAGCGCCACAAAGGTGCAGATGAATCCAAGACTCATCGCATGCGAGGAGGGCATGCCGTTGTCGCTGGGGCGGTCGATGGGGGA